AAAGAAGATGTCTGATGGTATGTATAACTTTTTTTTTATTACAGGTAATAATTTTATTGCCTTCCCTCACTTTCATTAGGGTGAGGGGGGTAGGTATGGTTATTTTATTTTAATAGGGTGTAGCTAGGGGTTTGGAAACACATAGATAGTCTGGGGGTGGACAATGACACTAATTATAATTAACTATGTATTATAATCAGAGCCCCCACCCACTGACCATGGGTGGAGGCTGAAGGCATACACTAGGTTCCCTCTGGTTTAAAATTGTGTGCCCACACCTGCCGCCATGGATAGGGGCATGGGGGAGACATCAGGATGTACCACCATTTTTTTTTAATTTAATACCCCACTCTCAATGACCAAGGGTATGGGCAGGAGGAGAAAAGTTTAATTTAAAAAAGTCCCCTCCTTTAATGACCCCCCACCACACACACACACACTTATTTTACAGGCCCCATATCCATGGCATGGTGCTTTTCCTGGTGACTGGTCACATGTTTTTTGTTACAGTAAGCATCACATTGAGCCCCATAGTCCTTTTTGTGTAATGTGGCAGCTGGCTACCAAACTGTGGTCAGCTGTGGCCACAGTGCTAGCATCCAAGTAGTTTGGATAATTAAAATCTAGGCCTGGATTCTAAAATTCCAGGCTGAATTTTAGTTATCCGAGGGCATTCAGTTTGAATGAAACAAGGACCAAATTCACAAAATCCATAAATTATTAAACAGTGTGGATTTTGCAGTCCAAATGGCCCATACGCAACTTATAAAAAAAAAAAACACTGCTTATAATATATAATCACATTCTCAGGCAAAGTAAACCGAGTTTTTTTATACCACTTTTACTTGTGCTCAATCTACATATCTAATGTGAATGTGTGAATTGAATCTGCAATATTCTACATAGCCGGAGGAGTTTGCCTGGTTCAGTATGGACCATTCAGACTAGTGAATAACTCTGATGTTCAAAAAATGTCTTGAATTAAACTGGTGCCAAGTGTTAATTTGCCTAAGCCAGCACAGTCCTGGGTTACAGGAGTTTGTAGATTGTGCACTGATATTCAATGAGAACATTTTGAGGGCCAGAATTGGCCGAGAGATTTTATCACTGCAGAATCTGATACAGGTGCAACAATGGTTAGTATTTGGTCTTTCCTTTTTGTGCATTTTTGCATTTATCGCTAATATCTACACTAGAATAACTACAAAAACACATACATACCCATATTTATTATGATAAAATCACAAATGAGATTTAAAAACGCCGGTATAGTTTCCTTTGTACCCTTAGTAACAAGGAATAAATGGGTCTTATAGAGAATGCACCAATAATTATGCTTTTCTTTTCAATTATCACAATGCCATATATCATAGCACAATAAAGAAAGTCAATCAACACTTAAATACAGGAAAAGAAAGAAATAACAGCTTAGGATTTGTATCGCAGGTAGGTAATTATTCACAGTCTTGCAATCTGAAATGCCCCCCCACCCAAAGCGACGGGTATTATAGACGAATAAATGAAAGATATTCTCTGCAATATGTGTAGCGAGTTATATTTGTAATTTGAATTTAATTTCAACTCGGGGACTGGTTCTGAGGTCACGAAGATACATTGTGTTCTACCTGGCCTCTAAAATACTCACAAACATTTATACACTTTTGGGGATATTCATTAAATGGCACTGGGGAGAATAGAAAAGAGCAAATTGTCTGGCGAAAATTTTGCCCGTTTTTGTCTAACGTTTGTATTTTTGTTGACAAGCACACTGTCTTCTGTTGGGATATCCAATCAAATGAAAATATGTTTCATTGGTATATAATCATATATAATATATTTGCTGTTTTGTTATTGCCTAAAGTGAAAGAGGTCATTAACAGAATAGCCTGTTAATTTTTTTGTTTGTTTGTTTCATCCAACTGCCAGTAATTTGTAAGAAAACAGGGCTGTCAAAGCCGGATTCTTTGTAATTATAAAAATTTCTCAGTCCCATAGGTATGATCTGACTTGAAGAGGGCATTCTCAAAAACACCAGTCTTAAAACATTTTAATAAATTAAATGAAAAATGCTCTCAGTAAAATGGTATAGAGCAAAATCCTTCTTTATAACTTATGGAGATATTGCAAGCCATTGTAGTGCTTGTTTTATGTACATTCAACAACAATGCCTTGGAGTAATGACAGAAAAATGATATAACTTTTGGTTGCCTGCTCTTCACAGATTTCACCAATTCTAGCTAGAAAAAGTGCAGAGATGAGCTACAAAATTGATAAAAGGAATGTAGCATTTTAGTTACGAAGAAAGGTTAAAAAATCGAAATCTCTTTAGTTTGGAAAAACGACACCTGAAAGGGGATATGATAACATTATACAAATATATTCGGGGCCAGTAAAAACCATTATCGTGAAATCTATTCATAAACAGGACTATACACAACACATGAGGTCACACATTTAAGCTGGAAGAAAGGAGATTTCATCTAAGGCAAAGAAAAGGTTTTTTTACAGTAAGAGCAATAAGGATATGGAATTCTCTGCCTGAAGAGGTGGTTTTATCAGAGTCCATACAAATGTTTAAACAGCAATTGGATAAATACTTGCAAAAACATAACATACAGGGATATAATTTCTAATTAGCCGGGTAATAGCTGCTTGATCCAAGGAGACATCTGACTGCCATTTTGGTGTCAAGATGGAATTTTTTCTTAGTTTATTGCAAAATTGGAAGTGCTTCAGACTAGGTTTTTTTTTTTTACTTCTTTTGGATCAACAGCAAAAACATATGTGAGGAAGGCTGAATTTGATGGACGCAAGTCTCTTTTCAGCTATGTAACTATGTAACTATGTAGCTTCATCGATCCAGTGCCCATCGCAGCAGAGGTCCTGAAGATTTGACATTTGTGGGGGGTTTTCAGCTACCTGTTTTATTCTCCATCAGTAGGGTCTGACATTTGTCCTCTTGAAATCCCACATAGAATCTTGCGAGTTACTGTGTCAACATTAAAAACGGTTGTTGGAATATCAGTAAAGATTTCTCTCAATGGCTAAAGGAATGTTGTCCTCCTTGCACCATCAAGGATAAGAATCAAGTTCTAATTTCTCAAATTCCAAACTTGCTGAAACAATTCTGCAAAATAAGTATTGTCATATCGAGCTGTAATTTGGTTTCTGCAAGAAAATCTTCTGCCGTATATAGAGTTATGTATTTGGTGATTGCATCTAATGGAAGAAACAGAAACGTAGACTGCTATTCATGTAATAATGTAGACTGTGCCAAGAAGTAGACCAACAAAATTCTGTAACAATTTGGATTCACTTATAATTGCACAAAATGTAGCATTCTAACCCAATAACCCTAACCCATATACATATACCATAACCCATATACATACCCTAAATCGAAATCCTAATCCTAGCCCAAAAACCCGAAAACTAAACCCGAATCCTTATTGTAATCGCAAACCCTTCCCATAAACTAACATCGCAAATCATTTAAATATGACAATCATTTGACACAACTTCATCAGAGTGAAAAAAATATAATTTTTCACTCGCTTATAGCTAAAATAATAAGAAATTAGAATTATAAAAGTGTGATAATGACGAGCATTGATGATAAAAATAAATTTAATATCTTGCACCTTCAGTTCATATCCTTCAAGTCTTATGGAGAACATTTACTTAAAGGGACACTATAGTGATCCAGACCACTTCAGCTCAATGAAGTGGTCAGGGTGCCAGGTCCCTCAGGTTTTAACCCTTCAGATGCAAACATAGCAGTTTCAGAGAAACTGCTATGTTTACATTTGGGGTTAATCCAGCCTCTAGTGGCTGTCTTCCGGACAGCCACTAGAGGCGCATCTGCGACGCTGGAGGCATATTATGCCTCCATCGCGCAGAGCGTCCATAGAAAAGCATTGAAAAATGCTTTCCTATTGACAGCTTGAATGCGAGCGCGGCATGCGGCATTCGGCTATGTTGACGTCAGAGGGAGCTGACGTCAGTGGGGGAGGAGAGGTCACCAGCAGGGCCGGATTAAGAGCACACTGGGCCTGGTGCTGACAAATATGATGGGCCTAATAAAGGAATCTTATTGACCAAAAACACTAAAACGGTCGTACCTCCCAAGCGTCATGCATCTGATGGAGATGGTGCTGGAGGGAAACTCATAGGATGCAGCTATAGGAAAATACATACTCTATGCTAATCTTTCTCTAATTTATGCTTTCATCTTTCAAGTAAATCCATAACCCCTAACAGCAGTGTCCAGTGAAGCAGAAAGTCAATGGGTGGGGTAAAAGGGTGGGCCACTGGTGCGAATCACGTGACCAGACCTGCCAAAAGGGGAGAACATGCCCAAAAAGGAGGCATGTCTGTCCAAAGAATTTGAAGGACAGCCTGGCATGAATGCATGTCAGGCTGCCCGCCAATCCTGCAGGCTGTCCAGGCAGCACCATGAGCTTGACATAAATGCATCTAATGATGCGCTCACTCCGTGCTTTCTAAGGACTGTCCCCTAGCACTCGCTGGTCCACTTGTCTCCTTACCTTCTTACTAGCAGGCAGAAGTTCCTGGTATAGTCTGAGATAGAGAAAAGGTGTATGTAGTGAGTGTAGAAAAAAGGGGACATGCCACAGTGTTAGAGAGACCAGCGCCTGCATTACCTAAACTAATTTTATTGTCAGCTAGTCCACACAAGTTTTGTTCCCATACATCATTCTTAAGCTTCCAAACTTAAAGGGACACTATAGTCACCAGAACAACTACAGCTTATTGTATTTGTTCTGGTAAGTAGAATCATTCCATTCAGGCCTTCTGCAGTAAACACTGTCTTTTCAGAGAAAATAATCCACTGGCCACTCCTTAGATGGCTGCTAGAGGTGCTTCCTGGGGCAGCACTGCCTAGTGTGCAGCACTGCCATTCAGTGTCTCCACCCTCTGCATGCAGACACTGAACTTTCCTCATAGAGATACATTCATTCAATGTATCTTTATGAGGAGATGCTGATTGGCCAGGGCTATGTTGGACTTGTGCTGGCTCTGCCTCTGATCTGCCTAGTTGACAGTCTCAGCCAATCCTATGGGGAAGTATTGTAATTTGCTCAGACCACCACTTCTGATGATGTCAGCAGACAGTCAATTCAGAGGCAGAGCCAGCAGCTGCAGACTTGAATACAAGTTATATTTTACTATACTTAGGGAGGCAAGAAGGGGCCAGGGTGTTGGTTTTAACATAATAGGGTCAGAAATACATGATTGTGTTCCTGACCCTATAGTGCTCCTTTAAGCAAGAGTATGTGAAGAGTAGTTAGGGTTGCCACCTTTTTTGGAAAAAAATACCAGCCTTAATCATTTGTATAATCACAAGGAGTGACATCAGAGAAAATTCTGTAAAATCACCAACAAACTACTCACAGTTTCATTCTGCTGTATAGATGGATTGCACCCAGTGTCTCAGTCTCACAAGTCACCCAGTGTCTCAGTGTCCCTATGTATCAAAGTGTCAGTGTACCCATGTCGCCCAGTCCCCTAGTCTCCCAGTGTCTCGGTGTCCCCATTTCTCCCAGTGTCCCCATTTCTCCCAGTGTCCCAATGTCTCAGTGTGTCCCCATGTCACTAGGATACTGGGGACACTGAGAGACCCGGGGACACTGAGACATGGGGACACTGGGAGACATAAGGACACTGAGACATTTAGGGAAACTGGGAGAAATGGGGACACAGACACTAGGGACACAGACACTGGGAGACATGGGGACACAAACATTTGGGGACACTAATACACTAGGGACACAGAGACATGGGAACACAGATACTGGGAGAATAGGGGACACTGGGAGACATGGGGACACTGGCTGGGAGACAGACACTTGGGGACACTGGGAGACATGGGGACAGTTGTGGGCATAGACATGGGGACACTGGGACATATAGGGACACTGGGAGACATGGGGACACTAGGCACACTGAGACACTAGGAACACAGACACTGGGAGACATAGGGACACAAAAACATTTGGGCCGGTGAGGGAGAGCTTTGATCTCCCCACCGGCCCGTCATGGCAAACAGCAGGGCCGGCGCTCGGATAGCGCCGGCCCTGCATAGACCGGCAGGGGAGATCCTGGGACCTCCCCTCCCGGCCTCGGCCCATGGCCACCGCGGCCCACCAGGCATTTGCCCGGTGTGCCCGATGGCCAGTCCGGGCCTGCTGAGAGACCCGGGGACACTGAGACATGGGGACACTGGGAGAAATGGGGACACAGACACTAGGGACACAGACACTGGGAGACATGGGGACACTGAAACATTTGGGGACACTGAGACACTAGGGACACAGAGACATGGGAATACAGACACTGGGAGACATGGGGACACTGGCTGGGAAACAGACACTGGGAGACATGGGGACAGTTGTGGGCATAGACATGGGGACACTGGGACATATAGGGACACTGGGAGACATGGGGACACTAGGCACACTGAGACACTAGGAACACAGACACTGGGAGACATAGGGACACTGAAACATTTAGGGACACTAAGACACTAGGGACACAGAGACATGGGGACACTGGGAGACTTGGGACAGTTGTGGACATAGACATGGGGACACTGGGACATATAGGGACACTGGGACACATGGGGACACTAGGCACACTGAGAGACACGGGACACAGACACTGGGAGACTTAGGGACACAGACACTAGCAACACTGGAAGGGGGACATGGGGACACTGGGAGAAATGGGGACATAGTGTCTCCGTGTCCCAATGTCTCAGTGTCTCCCAATGTCTCACAGCATCCCCATGTGTCTCAGCATCCCTATGTGTCCCAGTGTCCCCTAGTGTCTCAGTGTCCCCATGTTTTCCAGTGTCCCCAAGTGTTTCCAGGTCTCCCAGTGTCTGTGTCCCCATGTGTCCTAGTGTCTCAGTGTCCCCTAGTGTCTGTGTCCCGTAGAGTCTGTGTCCCCTAGTGCCTCAGTGCCCCCATATGTCTCCTAGTGTCTTAGTGTCCCCTAGTGTCTCAGTGTCCACATGTGTCCCCTAGTGTCTGTGTCCCCATGTGTCCCCCAATCAGGGCCGCCATCAGGGGTGACAACCGTGACTGCAGTCCCGGGCCCCACTTTCCCTTTCTGCACACATAGATAGCGAATATCGCTCCCTGTTACCGCAGAGGGGGCCCAGGCAGCACACAGCTTCTCCTCCTCTCTGCTCTCTCCTCTCTTCTAATAACTCTCGCGAGACCCACGGAGCGTTGCCATGGTAACTGGGTCTCGCGAGAGTTATTAGAAGAAAGAAGAGAGGAGGAGAAGCTGCTCCTGTGCTGCTTGGGCCCCCTCTGCGGTAACAAGGAGCCGGGGGGCCCCCCAACCGGACCACCACAGATGGAATCTCCCCCCTCCCTGGACACAGGTAAGCAGGGAGGGGGGAGAAACATTTAATTAATTTAATAGAAAATTCATGTTAAAATGCCCCTTCCTCCCCCTCCCCCCCCCCAGATCACACATTTACACACACACACACTGCATACACTAACACAACACACACACTGCATACACTAATACAACACACACAGCATCCACTACACAAACATCCTGTATTCACAGTACACACACTACATCCACCACACATTGAAGCACTCTGCATTCACTATACACAGACACTGCGTCTAATACACACACTAAATCCACTACAGACACTGCATCCACTAAACACATTGCATCTAGTACACACAAACACTACATCCACTACACAAACACACACTACATCCCTGTACACACACTACATCCACTACTCAAACACACTCTGCGTTCACTATACACACTGCATCCGCTACACAAGCACAAACTCTGCATTCACTGCACAAACAGTATCTAATACACACAAACACTACATCCATTACACACATTCTAATTCACTTCCACTATACACACCACATTCAGTCCTGCATCATTGTCAGCGGACTAGGTAGGGCTTGGGCAGGCCTGGGTGGGAGGGAGGGAGTGAGGGGAGGGGGGTGGGGTGTAGACCATGTGCTTTGTCATGGGCCCCAAAATTTCTGATGGCGGCCCTGTCCCCAGTGTCCCCATCCCTCACTTCCCTGAGCTGTAGTCTGTCTCTGCAGGTTGGGAGCTGCTGTCTGGACTCTCTGTGCTGTGTAGCTGCTCCCCCACGGATCAGTGAGTAGTAGAGAGAGGCAGGGATATTCTGTAACTTCCTATCCTGGCCTCTCTCCACACACAGTGACCCCTACTGGCCGGTGCTGGTATTGCAGAGTAATTTCCATTTATTCTGAGAAAATTACCTGCATTTATATTGCCGGTATTACTGCAATACCGGCACGGCCAGGCAGCCTCAAATACCGTCCGTGCCATTAAAATACCAGTCAGATGGCAAACCTAAGAGTAGTGTGTAAAAAAAATATATATTTTTTTTAAATGGGCCTATTCCATGGGCCTGGGCCTGGAGCTGCAGCTCCATCAGCCCCTATGTTAATCCTGCCCTGGTCACAAGCGCCGAGGGAGTCCGGTGCTCGAATAAGGTAAGCTGCTGAAGGGGTTTTAACCCCTTCAGCGCCACGGGAAGGGGCACCCTGAAGGTGAGATCACTCTCAGGGCACTTTTGTCTCAGGAAAACCGCTATGTTTTCCTGACACTATAGTGATCCTTTAATTCTTCTTTTTTCAATGAATGAAATTGTGATAACACTTCAAACATCCATGCGTGCAACTTCTGTATATTTTCCCTAAATCTTTAGTAACATATTTTCATTGACAGCAATGGGAGGTCAGAGACTGAATGTGAGTGTTAGTTATTTCCTGGCTAAATAATGAATCTTGCAACTAAGTCGTATTCACTAAATAGTGAGATTGGTATTGTAGAATAATACTAATAGCAGAACTACTAAAAGAAGGGTTTAGTGATTAATCCCCTTACGTTCTAATTTTTTACCTGAAATAAATTCCTTTTTCTATGTAAATACTTTTTTAATACACATTTTCTATTGTCTGTAAGATTTACATGTCATTTTGAATGTAAAAAAATGTGTAAATACCAAACTAAACATAGTTAAAGGTTTTTTTTTTTTTCATTTTAAAAAGAGAGACAGACAGAGAAACAAAAACAAAAAAAGCAAATTTGGAATACTATTGTTTATGTGGTTAATAAGCGGAATAAACATGAGTAACACGTTAACAAGTTATAGCCATGTGATATATTAGGTAAATATTTTAAGTGCAGGTCTCATATCAGAGTATTCTATAACATTCTATAATAAATTCAAACCGATCCTGGTATTTTAATATAATTTATCTCCAAGGATTAAAACTTTTTTTCAGTCCAGTTTAAACCCAACTCTGATCATAAAAACAATCCCAGTGTTTTCTCTTTTCACTAGTAAAAGATTAACACGCATCCTCTTTATAAAAATAAAAGGAAACGTGTTGATGGACTTACGCAGCCCAGTTACAGTTGATGTGGCATGGATCTAAGGAAGCCAACACAAGGTTATTGACCGCTTATGATCTGCAAAACATTTTTCCATTACATACTGTAGAGCTAAATCAGTTACCATTCTGACATTTTACACAGAAAAATAATAACACAGATTTTTTTTTTTCATGTCCTGAAGGCAAAGAGATACATTCAGGAACTGATGCCAAAGGAACGTTGACCTTCAATCCAAAAAGGAAATTATCTGTCAGTTCTCTTTTTATTTTAATCACTGCCTGGGATGCACACAGAGAAAAAAGCTCTCTCCTGATGGGCGGTATGAAACAAATGGTTTCAAAACAACACTAAAAGGATTTTAAGAAACAAAACACTTAGGGGTCTCTACTCCCAGCTGTGTGTGTAAAATCCTTGAAGATTGACAAAATTCTGTCCATAATCTAGTTCTCCACAGTCCTGGACACTGCAAGTTCTGAAAACGTTCAACAAAAATTAAGTTAAAGTGAAATGGTCATTTTCCCAAACTTTATATTTCACAATTTCTGTATTAACTGAAACCTGCAAAATGTAAAAATGGACCAGGTGGACCAGAATGAGGAGCATATAGTCAGTCCGAAACGTGTTCCGAATTCTTTGTATTCCCCTGTGTGGTGACATATTACACGCCAATAAAAAAGAAAATTGACCATTTCTGTGCTTTGGTGTTTTTGTGCCAAATTTTTTTCTATTCTATTTATTTTTGTAGATTAACATAACATATAACAATGTCTTCCTTGGATTGGGTCTTT